ATCTATTGAATGAGAATCTGTATATTTACAAAACATTTGCCCACCACACTGCTGACATACTATAATGAACCAGGAAGTTTAGTTGTCATCAAAGAGTTCAAATATCTACTACAATGAAAAATTACTTTAGATAGTGAAAACTTGGGGAGGAAGAAGGAAAAGGGTGTGGTGATTATTACAGAATAAGGTAATATTGAATGCAGATATCAGCTTTTGGAAACTAAAACATACTGTGATTTAATTATAGGTAAGAAAATGTGACATTTTCTGGCCAGAAGTGGTTGCTAAATCGATTTTAGTAATACTCATTAACTTTCCAAAAAAAATTTAAAAGATAGTTTAGTTTAAAAAAGTGTCCATAATAATTCAATGCAACAAAATGCTACTTAATAGTGCAGTAAACTAAGACAATGGCATTGTTCTTGTTGAAACTTTTATCTTACATTAACAAAACCTTTGATCCAATCTATGAAGGTTAATCCATTTGACTCAGATCCAATGACCTGGCATTTGTAACAATTCAAGAATCTTTCAATACAGAATAGAATAAATGGGATCAATTACCTTTCAGCTGATCAGCAACAACACTTTGCGTACCAACTCTATCCATCACTTTGCTATCCTCCTTCAAGTAACGTTCATCCAAGTACTTAGCTGTAACCTCAGAAATGTGAACTTTTCCAGCTACCCCAAGCTGTTCCATCAAATTGGCCAGGTTAACATCATTGGACCACACATCAAATTTAAGAACGTTTCATTCCCAAAATACCACAAAGGACAGTGCCAGTGTGGACCCCAACCCTCATAGTGACCATCTCTTTCTTCTCCTGGCAGAATTGCTCGATAGCCTGGATCATTCCTAACACCATCTCGATGCAACAATAAGCATGATCAGACCTGGGTATTGGGCAGCCAGCCACACAGTAATAGCAAATGTCTAAAGTGCTGATCTTTTCACAGCCTGTGTTCTCACAAAGTTGGTCAAAGCGTCCAAAGTCATTGAGGAGTCACACCAAGAGGTGTGCAGGCTTGTTAGTACTCATTTTGGTGAAACCAACAATGTTTGTGAAAAGGATGCTAACAGGCTCCATCCTCTGCATGGTGATGGGTCTGAAGATGATGTGAGCTTCCGGAATGGAAAATTTATTTTTCTTACTCTTGGGACTGGACGTTGTGATGCGCCTGAATGAGTTTTCAATCTCATTGTCGCCTTGTTTCATCAGTTTATCTGCCACCATTCTCTGCATAACCAAATCGATCATCCGTTCCTTCGGGGCTTTCTCCACTTCCAGATCTTTGATTTGCATGATGGATTGACCCACTCAAGGAAGGTGCTCCTGGAATGCACTTGAGACATAATGAAAACGTGGATGCCGATGGCATGGATGCAGGCTTGAAGGCAGATCTTGCCTAATATTTCCAACAAAAGGTGCCCAATATCAGGGGATGGGAAGCAATCCGGGCCACTGAAATGGTAGCCAAATATCTCAAAGAGTAGAGTAGGAGATGCCAAAGAGGAAGCACAGGCAGAGGAGGGGTAAGGACACCTAGGTATAGAGCAGGAGCAGTACCTCCACACAAATGGAGGAACTCCCCACCGGCCAACAGGTAAGTGTCGCTCGTGCCCATAGCAACAGGCCCAACACTCTGACAGGAGTTTGCATCTGCAATCCCGTTCGAGCCGCCTGGTGTTAGATTCACTTGAAAACAAGTGTCGAGAGGCAAGGCAAAGACGAGCAGCATGAAGTGAAGCGACACCCTGCCATAGTGCTTGGCATACATGCAGCTGAAGGTGACCGGGAAGAGCCCGGCGCAACAGGTCAGGAAGACCTTCTATCTCCGAGAACTTTGATAACAAATTCACTTTTTTTTAAGCATTTTCATTATCAATTGGGGCTATATTACAGTCACTCCTTTATTTTCTATGCCTGTCTGTTTAAAATATGTTCTGTGAAGTTTAGGTATTCACTAAAAGCATTAGCCAGTCTGAGTAGCTGTTAAAATACATTTTAAAGTTGTTTTTGATACTTATGGTGTCATCAAGTCTGACTCAACAATTTGGTGGGGTAACTGACTATCTATAATTTGCATAAGTGGATAGGGAGGTGCACTGTTTCCCTATTGCATGATCACGCTTAAACTAAACACGCTAGCAGCCACTTGTAATGAAGTTAATCAAAGTGCACGAAAAAGCAGTGCCTGGCTATTGGGCCCGTTGCCTTTTTATTGTCCAATCAAAATCATGCTTTAATCATGTTCCCCTAATTCGGGGAGGTGCTCAATGCCCGTAAAAGAATGAGCACCATGTGCTCGAGGTCACTGTTTTTCTACCTGATGATATTGAAAGATATGTGCCCTGACTATTGATGAGTAGTCAGGGATTGGTTTCTCATGCAATTTAGATTAACTTCACTCACTACAAGTGGCTGCTAGTGTGTTTACTTTAAGTGTGATTAGTGTTTGTTATTTCATAATTGTGTTTGTTGATATTTATTGTGTAGTTTAAGATTTAATGTGGAGGGTTATGGATTTCATCGAAATTACAATAAACTTCTGTTGCGTTTTCTTAACCGTGCTTTCTCAAGCTTTCTGTATCAATCGAAGAAGGAGGGAATACACAAACAGGTTGAGCCTATGTCACAGTCTGTTTAGAATAAATGACTGATAACAGAAGCTTCTCAAGTCTACTCCCACTCACACCTCGTCAATTTATTCAGGAGGGGGAGAATTTTTAAAATTTGCTGTCTGACAGCATAACACATTGGCACAATAACTAATGCACCCTGCCATGCCTTTGAATAGTGGGACATAAATTTACAGATAAAATTCCAAACATAATATCTCCCTCTCTCTCACACACACACACACAAATCGATGCACCCCCCCATCCCCATCACCAGCCCACCAATATGCTTAGAATAAAAAAAACATTGAAGTTAAAATTCATGGAGGGCCAAAGGGAGAAAAAAGATCCTCCCCTCAGAAAAAAAAACTTTTGTGAAGTTATGAGCTTTCTGCTATGGAAGGAAGAGTTTTGGAACAAGAGCTTTGTATTGAAGCAGTAGCAGAAGTCCAATATGCTCCTTATTTGGCTGCAAAATTGCTTGAAGTGTGCAGATATTAGCCTCACACCTGATGTAGCTAAGAGACAAACAATAAAAAGGCAATAAAATAAAGCAGACTACTAATCTCTGCAACCCCAGTCTTGCCAGGCTTCATGCCCAGAATGGATCGATTTCAAGATCCTCACACTCGCCTTCAAATCACTTCAAGCCCCAGCACCTCCCAACCTAATCAATCTGCTCAGTTTGCACTGCTCCACCCGGCCCCCTTTGCTCAGCTAGATTGGTCCTTCTGCACATACCTCTACGCCTCCGCTCCACCATCACGATTGGCAGCCGTGCTTCCAGCTATTATAACCCAAATTTCAGGAATTCCTTTCTCAATCCCCCCCACCTGCCCCTCTGTGCCCATCTTCAGATCACACCTGAAGACTTTCCTTTTCGACTGTGCCTATGGTCACCTCCCCATTCTCCCCAGCTCGGCATTAGACTATGCCATTGTTAAGCACTGCATGATGCCACCCACACAAAGGGCGCTATATAAATACAATTTGTTATTGTTGTTCCTGCCTTTCTAATCTATTGTTTATGCTTTGCTTTCAAAGCATAATCTTTCAATAGTTTATACTCTGATACAAATAAAGTTCAGTTTGTTAAAGTATTCCATTTCTGGACAATCTCTACCCTTCCCAATTCCATCAACATATCCAAAAGCCCTGATCATAAAACTGGAATCCAATGACCAATGCCTGGAGCTAGCAAAGCTCCAGTTCGGTACTTGTTATAGTTAACAATAAATCGAAGGAAAGTTTACTTTCAAAGATTTCTGGCAGTGCAACTGAAAATATTTTCAAGATGAATCATTCAGAAGTAACTCTTGTTTACAATTTCCTCTGAATCAGCATTTTACTTGTAAAATCTATAACAACTTCTTTAAATATCAGTCTCCCTGATCTAAACAATAGTTCATCCAGTGTCTAATTTATATAAACACAATTCTGATCACAAAAGTACTCTCTGATAGCCTTCCAAATTCAAATCTAGAAAATATGTGTTGTCAAGGAGTTTGGAGGGGTCTCTCTCGGACATTTAGAGTTCATCATTTTTAACACTTACTTGGTCAGTACTTCATTTAATACCATAAACCAACTGATCCAAAACATGTGTATGATCCACCACGGATGATTACAATGCAAAACTGTCATTATGATAGCCTGTTTCCAACATGTAAAAAAAAATCCAATATATTTCACTTTTTAAACACCCACTACTTAAGGTTCCAATGTTTTATAAAGCCGGAAATGCTTCCCCCACCCCCACCAGCCAAAAAAAAATCTTTGAGGATGTGCACTGCAATTTCAGTGCAACAAAATACCACTATTTCTAAACAGAATACATACTCTCATACACAGGCAACATATATTTAATGATAATCTGCATATTTACAAAACATTTGCCCACCACACTGCTGACGTACTGTAATGAAACCGGAAGTTTAGTTGTCATCAAAGAGTTCAAATATCTACTACAATGAAAAATTACCCTTAGATCGTGAAAACGTGAGAAAGAAGAAGGAAAAGGGAAGGGTCTGGCGATTATTACAGAATAAGGTAATATTGAATGCAAATGTCAGTTTTTGGTAACTAAAACGTACTGGGATTTTGAATACTTAATTATAAGAAAAGAAAATGTGACAGAAGTGGTTGCTAAATCGGTTTTAGTAATACTCATTAACTTTCCAAAAAAAACAAGTAAGCTAAGACAGCGGCATTGTTCTTGTTGAAAGTTTTATCTTACATTAACAAACCTTCGATCCAATCTATGCAGGTTAATCCACTCTATAAATATTCTAAAACAGTTTTAGACCAGATCCAATGACCTGGCACTTGTAACACTTCATTAAGTACCTTTCGATATAGAATAAATGGGGTCAATTACCTTTCAGTTGATCAGCAACAACACTTTGCGTGCCAACTCTCTCCATCACTTTACCATCCTCCTTCAAGTAACGTCCATCCAAGTACGTAGCTGTAACCTCAGAAATGTGAACTTTTCCAGCTACCCCAAGCTGTTCCATCAAATTGGCCAGGTTAACATCATTGGACCACACATCAAATTTAAAACGTTTCATTCCCAAAATACCGCAAAGGACAGTACCAGTGTGGACCCCAACTCTCATATTGACCATTTCTTTCTTCTCCTGACAGAACTGCTCAATAGCCTGGATCATTCCTAACCCCATCTCTATGCAACAATAAGCATGATCAGACCTGGGTACTGGGCAGCCAGCCACACAGTAATAGCAATCGCCCAAAGTACTTATCTTCTCACAGCCCGTGTTCTCACAAAGTCGGTCGAAGCGTCCAAACAAGTCATTGAGGAGTCCCACCAGGAGGTGTGCAGACTTGTTAGCACTCATTTTGGTGAAACCTACGATGTCCGCGAATAGGATGCTAACAGGAGACATCTTCTGCATGGTGAAGGGTCTGAAGATGATGTGAGCTTTCTGAATGGAAGTTTTCTTCTTTTTATTCTTGGGACTGGACGTTGAGTTGCGTTTGATTGAGTTCTCACTCTCATCATCGCCTTGTTTCATGAGTTCATCGGCCACCATTCTGGGCATAACTGAGTGGATCATCCGTTCCTTTAGGGCTTTCTCCACTTCCAGATCTTTGCCGTGCATGATGGATTGACCCACTTTGAGGAAGGTGCTCCTGGAACGCACTTGTGACATAATGAAAAGGTGGATGCCGATGGCGTGGATGCAGGCATGAAGGAAGATCTTGCCCAACACCTCCAACAAAAGGTGCCTGGTATGGGGTGATAGGAAACAATCCGGGCCACTGAAATGGTAGCCAAATATCTCAAAGAGTAGAGAGTAGGAGACGCCAAAGAGGAAGCACAGGTAGAGGGGTAAGGGCATGACGGTGTAGAGCAGGAGCAGTACCTCCACGCAAATGGAGAAACTCCCCACCGGCGACAGGTAAGTGTCGCTCGTGCCCATGGCAACGGGCCCAACACCCTGACAGGAGCGGGCGTCTGCCGTCCCGTTCGAGCCGCCTGGTGTCAGATTCACTTGGAAACGAGTGGCGAGAGACAAGGCGAAGACGAGCAGCGTGAAGAAAAGCGACACCTTGCCATAGTGCTTGGCATACAAGCGGCTGAAGGTGACCGCGAAGAGCCCGGCGCAACAGGTCAGGAAGACCAGCGTGGGCGCCAAGAAAGCAGCCAGGTGACGTCGCACGCTGGCTCCAAAGTAGGCGGCCCACAACAGGCAGGCCACCATGAGGTAGCAGAGCGCGTACCTGAAGCGGCGCTGGGTCTGCGGGAAACAGCGCTCCAGACACGCGTCTTCCAGGTTGCGCGAGTCAAAGGTGGGGTTCCACCACTGGCCCGACGCCCTCTCGAAAAGCTGCGGTGCTTTCCTGCGGTGACTGCGGGCTGCTCGCTTGACCGATTCCCCCGAACTGCAGCTGGACGAGATGCTGTATTTGCAGTGCTTGTTGGAGCCGGGCCCTGAATGCTGTTGAGGCGCCGCTTTGCTGTTGATTTTAACGGCGACATGGTTGCAGTCTCCGCTCACGTCGCAGTACACCTCGGTGCCGTGCTGCTGGGACGCCATGGACCGAGCGCTGCACTTCTCCCCCCCCCCCACACGCCACCCCGAACTGCTGCGGACGTCGACCCCACCGCGCGCTAAAGCTGAGCCCTTCGCCTGGCCGTGCTTCCCAACGTGCGGCCGCTCGCTCGCTCCATCCACCATTTCCGTCACCGCGGCCGGGACATGAACTCCAGAGCCGCTCACATCCGGGACTCGCCGCCTGAGGCCGGAAAGGGCGGGAGTCAGCGGGCGCGTGCGCACTGTGTGCCGCTGCCGCCGGCCACCGGTCTCGCGCCTGACCGGCCGTTATTTTCAAACCGTTTGGAGTCACGTGGCGCTGGGCGTCCAGCTCGAGGGCCGGGCCGCGGTGCTGAAGCTGAGGTACCGTACTTGCTCACTCAAGTACGTCAGTGCACCGCCATTAACGTGCCACACAGACGGTGCTCGTGTCCCCAGTCCGTGCTGGGTGTATTGAACTCGCCGAGGAAGACAGTTAGGACTCGCACTTGGTTTCAGGGCTCCTGGGTTTAGGGTTAGTGTCTTGTCCAGTGAGACCCGCCTACAGGAAGATGAGTGTACGCGCCTATGTCGGGACAGGACCGAACTGGGCTGCCAACCCCTTACCCCCAGTCACACACCCTCGATGACACTCCACTCTCTGACGAAGAGTGGCCACTCGAGTGAGGGTGAGAGGTACAGTGCTGCAGGACTGCACATGCGGACCTGCACCTCAGGAAGATTCAGCATCTCGAGGTGAGAAAATCGAGAAGGGGGGGAAAAAAATGAGTTCACAGTGAGTCAAAGGACTGGAATCGTTTTGTAGTTTTGAACAAGTTTATTGTTACGGCAGTCTTTTGTGGATCGATGAATCACCTAATATCACCTGTACCGTACTCGTGTATTCGTTGTGTGTAAGTCATAAGAAAATGCGACTTGTACATAACTTTATATAAGTCATATAATGATATGAATTATGCAAGTTTGACATAACTCATATTTTGTCTAAGTCATATTAAATGCATGGTCCCAACTGATGTGAGGTTTACTGTATTGTGTGCAGTGCTTCAATTTAAATTGACAGTCCTGACTTCAATGTCCATACATCTCATTGACTTGCTGGAGATGCAATGAACTTCAGATGTGATGTCGAGTGTGAAGTTGCATCTTCGAAAGAGTCACTTAGACCTGTTCTGATATTTTTCCTTTAATCCTCACATGAACTGTTAAAACAAAGCAATAACTATTGTTATTGATTCTTTTTTTAAAAAAAAGTTTATTCACGCATCTCCTTTGGAAGTCTTGTATTCTTTCCAGCTCCTTCACTGATTTCCAGCAACTTTCAGACACTGTTTTTCTATCTTACCGACTCACTGAATTGTACATCTGCTTAAAGTCTACAATACACACCCAGTTATATATTATGTACAGCTGGCACTTACAATCATGCCTTAGTGTGAAGATTTATGCAGCATATCCACTTTTCTGTTTCCTATTGAAGAGCATTTTAGCAATATATTCCCAGAAACATAACATAGGAGTATAGGAATGTGCAGGACTGGAATGGACACCCTACAGGATATTTGACCGGTCTAATTTTCAAACTCCCATCTTTTCCTATCTAAAATACTCTATCTGAAAGAGGTGTCAGCTTGCCTCAGTTGCTGCACTCTCTTCTCTGGTGATGAGTTCAAAAATCCTTTGTTGGGACTTTGAACTCATCGTCAAGGCTGATCACAACATCATCAATTTACATTCATATGGGGCTTTTCACCTCGGGGTGGAATTTGCACTCTATTGTTTGGAGGAGTTGTCCTTCAGATGTGATATTAAACAAAGGTCCTATCTCCCTGTCCAGATGGACATTAAACATGTAATGGGGGAGGACAAGTTTGCAGAGCTATGGGGAGAGAGTGGGGGAGTGGAATTGATATGGATAACTCTTTGCAAAGAACTGGCACAGAACACAGACACGATGGGCTGAATGGTCTCCTGTGCTGTAAAATTCAATGATTCTATGAACAACACTATTTGAAAAGAGAAGAGTTTCTCCTTGTGTTCTTCCAGCATTCCTCAATAATAAAATTGGACATTCACACCATAGGTGTTTGTGGGAATATTGTGGTGCGCATAATTAGCAGAGATAATGACACTTGTTGATCTATTGATTGTATTGAGTAAGGTATTGGACTGCAATCATACCTTATTGGATCTGTAATATGTTCTCACAGTGACAAAGTCCTCTCATCGTTTAACTATTTTGGTGATAGTTTTTCCTCTCTTCACCCTTTCTTACTGCCTAAAATAATTCATTCAATGTCATCTCACCCTCCACCTGTCTTGAAAATTTGTCCAGTTCTCCAATTGTTGCTCCGGGACACTACCCTGTGTGAAGGGCACTATATAAATGCAAGTTGTTGTTGTCATATGTATGCCCTTTATAACTCATAGTCTTAACAATATCAGCTGGTATCAGGAGTCCTTGAACCCACTACCACCCAACAACCATGATGCTTCCCTTTATATTTTGTCTATTCAATTTTCTGCACCTAAATCTGTACAAAACTAAAAGACAATCAACGCATAAAACTTGACCTAGTTACAAATAGTTGGTTGAAGGGATGACGAAGACTGATGAATGTTATCAAATAGTTAATGAAATCGAACCTAACAGCAGGAGCTGAACAAAAAACATTGACTTAAATCATTTCTGACAAATAAAACACACAATTAGAATTCAATTCAAGTGAATTACGTGTAGAACACAATATACAGACAGTAAATAAAGCAAGGCTATTCAAGGCCATTATTCCAAAGGTGTGTTTGAGATTAAATGGGTCCTAAGGGCACACAGATTGGAAAAGTCACCTTTTATTCAGCCTCAAAATGCAAAACAATCCTGGCCCAAGTTCAAAAGGAACTCCCAAGATTATGTAATATGATTTTCTGTTACTATTATTTTATTGTAATAATTGTATAAAAAGATTAAGTATTTTAGAAACAAATCAAGGTTTTCTGTAAATGAAATATCTTTTTGAAGATCAAAAGGATAATATTAGTAAATAACAATTCACATGGATATAATTATTTTCTTGTCAAAGAAATGTCCCAAAGTGCTTAACACAATGAGGTTCATTAGATTGTTCTTATGGAGGCCAACACAACAGCTGATTTATGTTAGCAAAATCTACCATATGACACTAAGATGAATTGCCAATAAATTAGAATTTGGGGGTAAATTTGGATTGGGGAAAAAATGTCAATGTCTCGAGATATTCCCTATGAGAAAGGTGCTATAACAATGAAAATTGTTATCTGTTTCATCCAAGAATAGCAACTCCCAATGAAACACATCCCAGCAATGTAATGTAGTGCCAGATTAGACTTTGTGAGTTCAAGTTAAACATTAAACCAAGGTCCCCTCTGCCTGTTCAGGTGGACGGTAAAGATCCCATGGCACTATTCAAAAAGGGAAACGAGTTTCTCCCAGTGTCCTGGCCAACAATTCCCAAATAAAATTGGTCATTCATTTCATGGCTATTTGTCACATGATAAGGTGCTATACCAAAAGTAAATGCAAGCATTATTAATCACTTCCTGAAGATTTTATTTGATTTACCAATCAATCTGGATACTATTAGCCAGAACACTGGGAGAAACTCACTCCTAACCAAAGCCTTAAATTGCTATCTGTTTGGCATAAAGAGTAGTCTATGCATCGACAATCAGTTGCTAGTGTTTTCTCATCCTCCACACACATGCAATATAGACACATTCATGAGCCACTTTATTGTATAGGAGTGGGAGTTTTGGGAACAATCTGCTTTGATAGATTGCCTCTGCTTACCAGAAAATGTTTGAAGAGTTTGGTGATGTAGGAAAGCCCATTGAGGCATTGTTTGATATAATTCAATCATTTTATGTTTCTTACAAAACACAGAGACCAATATATTTGGTTAAGTTGCTCCCTGTTCTTATCCCCTTGGTGCATCTCTATTGTTGGCAGACTTGTTGTATCTTCTAGGGTGAAGACAGATGCAAAATACCCATTTAGGGACTCTGCCATGTCCTTATCCCCCATTACAACTTCTCCCGTCTCTGACTGAAATGGACCTACATTTCCCCTCACTAGCCTATTCCTCTTAATGTATTTGGACGTGAATGGATCAGGCTTGACTATGATACCTCTCATGGTTGAATAACCTGCTGAACCCTTACCACGTAGGCTCATACCTCAATACTGGCCACTCCTCAGGGATGAGAATACATGAGAGCTTTCACACAAAGGGTTCACTGGTTTGTGATCAGGAATCTGGGTTGAATGTACCTCTCCATATCTCAAAAGCACTAAGGCTAGCAATAAGCTCAGCAGCTACACTTGCTGAGAAGAGCTGACTAACTCAGCATAAACCTAAGAACATCCAGGATTATAAATCGGTTACACACAGTGTTGGGGGCTCTAAATGAACTGAGTTCATAAATTCAGCCAGTGTTCAACAAACAACCATGGAACAATTAAAGCAGAGGTAGGCGGACTCTGGCACCACATCACTTGCCTGGCCAGAACACTGCAGGATGTGCCATTTGCATTGCTACTTAAAACACCATGCCAAGCCTCACAGAATATGTTTCCAAGAATTTCTTGACTCGTATTTCACACCTTGCACAGGTGAAGTAACTTTGTCAGTCAGGTCAGTCCTGAAGGAGCAGTGGCAACCCTCCAAGACCTTGGTCAGAATAAAGGAAAAGTTTGAACCTGCAAGTTTCCCTTTTCAGAATAAGGAAAAAGAAACATCAATGGAAAAAAGAAACAAGATGCGGTTATCGTTTATGCAATGTTTGCCTACATAAGAGATTTCAGAGGGGACCCTATAGGCAGGTGATGCGATTTAAAAAAAAATGTGGTCAGGTGGGGGGGTGGTGGAGGGGTGGATGGAGACGATTCCTGAGGTTAAGGGTGTAGTAAATGAAGGGTAGGCCTCTGATGGTGGCAAAGAAGGAGGAGCAGACCGCAGCAGGCCTGAATTAGCCAAGTGGAGGGGGGAAAGCAAAAGAACAGAATACGAGAAGGTCACAGAATTGGGTCGTTGTTAGGATGTGAAGGGATTTATAAATGAAATGATCCAGAACTAAGAGGGGTGGAAAAGGCATCCCTTTACCGAAACCCGAGTTTGGGTAAAGACAAGATCAAGTTTGATTGTGATGACCCCACAACTCCTTCATGGTTGTCTGCCAACTCTCTAGGTTCACACATGAAGACCAAATGAACTATGTAGCAGAGACTGAACTGTGCCATATCAAACTGTACCCCACTCTGAATCCAGTACCTTCATAAGATGAAGTGAGAGGATACAGAGAGATAACGCCAAATTGCAAAAACATTACAAAACTTGCCCTGCAGTGGATGTTGCATCTGCTGGAATTTGCAACAGTCCTACCAGATAACACAACATTGCCAAAGTTTCTGAAACTAGCTGTTCAGGAACGGAATGTGCTCTGAAGACTCCGAGATCAGTGCTCATTTATTTGATTTAGTTCTGGAATGCACATAGTTAGATCCGACTAGATACATCACATCCTTGAGGAAGGAGAATGGCTCAGAGGAACAGTAGTGTAATATATCATTCAGCATACATCACACTATTTGCTTTCTGTGTGAGAAAGGCAGTGACATTTGTGCACCATACAACAACAACAAAATTACATTTGTATAGCGTCTTTCCTGTCGGGACGACGCCCCAAGGTGCTGAACAGACAGAGTTTCAGACCCAAGTTGAGGCTCAAGGTCAGGGAGGGTGGAGGGCGGTGGGGGGGGGGGGGAAGCAGGGAGATCAAAAGCTCGGTCGAAGAGGAGGGTCTTGAGATGCGTCTTGAAGGAAGCAAGGGAGGGAGCAAGGCAGAGGGACTGCGGGATGGAGTTCCAGAGGGTGGGGGCAGAGTGGCAGAAGGCCCACCTGCCAATAGTGGGGTGAGCGAGGCGGGGGACATGAAGCAGGCCATAATGTGTGCATCTGACAGAAACAGAACTGGCAATTAAGCTCCCTGATACCTCAGTGGACAAATCACACCATCTGATATGGATCTCATAATACAGATCAAGAAGGACCAATATTGAAATGTTCAGAACAAGAAAAACACTACAATATATTTGGCCATTTTCAAATCCTATCTCTCCTTAGCTCACATAATTGATATGAAAGGAGGAATAATGTGGTGGTCACACTCTGAAGGTTGTAGATAATTCCAATATTCAAAATATATACAATAAGCAGCCATGAATTCAAAATCAGAAGGTGAACACAGTTCAGATTTAATTTTGCCCAGAGAGCAATGAATATGTGGAATGGATGATCCAGAGGGTTGCTGGAGACAGATTATACCTGCTCCCAGTCCTACCCTCCCAAGCTCCAATGATGAGGCAGATCGAATGATCTATAATCAGCTGGCACCGGAGTAATACAGATCTACGTCGCTAGCTGGCTCAAGACTACCAAGACCGCCATAGAGGGTTCCAATTCCGGCGTTCTGTTGCCAAGCATGTTACCTTGGAGCCAGTTTAGCTCTATGGAACCCCACTTACCTCCCCCCAAGGAGGTCAGTCACTACTAACCAGTGTTGGTCATTTGACAAGTGTAGGTTTGAGTCCTCACTAGGTGGGTGGCAGTGATCAGGAACTCGGAGCTTCCTGGTGAGTAGCATGGCTCAGCATTAAATGTGTGAGAGCATTTCCATCATGTTTCTACCTACAGTTTGGTCACACATCCCAATCCATTGAGTGATGGTTTCACTACTTGGAGGTACAGATCTTGAGCAGCAGCTGCTTACCTCTTTGCATACCAAGCAAGGTGGATTCCAAGCCCTGGAAATAAAAACATGTTCAGGACACGGTCTCCAGCTTGTTACAGTCCTGAAAATAACCAATGTTTGGAGGAGGGAGAGTATATATAGCCAAACAAATTAAGATTTTTATGATTATAAAAATTATGAATAGGTTACAGGCTGTAATCTAATTGAATGACGCAAGATCCTGTTCAGCATCTCAAACAACTTGATAAGTTTTAAAGTGAAGTGTCGTGATTTGTAGTTGTAGGCACACAACTGATGTGATTTACAATCAAACATTAATCAGTTCCAGCCATTTTTAACTATCCATGGGCCACATTAATATAGTAGTAAAGCCAGGAACCCAACTTAGCAGATGGAACAAACTGGCAGGCAGAAAGAAAGAAATACTCAGCCAGTTTATTCAATAATTGTTTGAGAACAAAAATATTAACCTACTATAGTGACCTCCAGTGGCCATAAGCAAGTGGTTACATCCTCACAAATATACCTCTGCAAAGTAGCAGAAATACAGCAATCACAAGGAAGATCAAAAGGACAGCTTGGGACTTTTCCAGTTGCTCAAGGGTGGATCCATTGCTTTATATGGAACTGAAGCAATCAGACCAGTCCCAGATTCAATCTCCAGTGTGTGTTGTTAGTTGTTCTCAACCATTGTAGTTGAGCTCTAATTGGTCTTATTAACCATGGAATGGGGACAGGGGGAGCATTGCACAGTCAAAATGGGACGAATGGCTTCTTTCTGAAATTTCTATGATTCTGTTGATTTATATCTCAACAGAAAAGAAGTGTACAAGTACATTCACGTACATATGCAGACTCACCACACTATATTTCATCCTTCATTTCATTATTTCATTACATTCCACCCTGGAGTCCCTTTGATTCGCTCCTTCCCTCATCGCTGTCAAGATGCATCGCAAGAGCTTCCTCTTTGACTGTGCTTTCAGCCATCTTTTCCCCTTTCCTCATCCTCTTGCCTCCCACCTCCTTGGACAGTTTTTCCTATTCATAGTTAAGGAGGAATAATGCTTAAAGATAGATAAAATTTACACTATGTGGTACATTTAACCATGAGGAATAACCATACTTGATTTGGACAGCTATTATTAAAAAAATGCTATTGGATGAATCACACCTCCCTAATTTCAAGAGAGAAAGAAAGAAGAACAAAGTGAGGTGTTTGAGAATGTCTTTTATTAGAAGGGCCTGTGTATTATACAAACTGAAATTAAACTGGTCTTTGATTTCATCCACAACTCCAAAGACAATTCAGGGCACAACAGTACATGTCAATCTACAATACTAATTGTGAGTTACTTTTGCCCATGGAGTTGAGCTTCCTCTGAAGTGTGAGGAAACTAGTAGAGCAACAGTGTAACCCAGGACCTGCAGGGTCTCCCTGCACTATAAAATCACGAAAGAGACCATCTACAGATAAAAACACTGAGCAGACAACTCTCACTTTCAAACCAAGCCTCTCTAGTCCTTACAGTCACGCTGGGAATTCTGTAACCAGCATCATCATATTTCCACCAATACCCAGACACCATGGAGCAGCGGTTGGTCATCTGCCCCACGCCCTAGGTACTCTGCTCAGAGGAAGTACTGGGGAGTACATACACTTAGAATAAGGATTACCTACTGCACAAAACCAAAAGATGACAGACTCTGCTTTCCTTCCTCTCCTCATTGCAAATGCAACAGAGGCTGCTTTGGAAGAACGTCATGACTAAACAATCACAAATAACTTTCCTCACAATCCCAAACTGACCACCAATCATTGAATGATCCCATAACACACGCACCACCTAAATCTCCTTTAATGCATTCAAGTAATCTAAATAAGATGTTTTATTGCTGTCTCATATCTATTAGGAATTTGCACATTTCATTTTACCATTTATATTTAATTTAAAGGCATAATTACAGAAGATGGTCTTCCTCAACAAGATCTGAGCCATTGCCCCTTCCATATTGACCATTAAACTATTATGTTAATGTCAACCTTGTATTTCTTGAAACCAGCATAAAAATAACCTACTATGCCATCTGTGCTTTCTACTACTCATACTTGACTTCCTGGTTTACACAGCTGAGGGTCTAACTAGGATAAACATGGAATTGAACCTCCAACAAAACTGAGTTTGTTACCGATTCAATACGTACTCCAACATCTCTCTTAAAAGGCCAATTATTTACAGTAGTCACAGCCTTGTCTGATTGCTTAATGGTTATCAACCTGTGTGGTTTAGTAGCATGTAAGAGGTAGCTGAATGCTTCATTGTTAAGGTCTGGCAACATAACGCCCTCCAATAAATACACATATAAGTAATATAATTTCTGCCTCAGTTTGCTTTCTAAACCAATAAGAAAAAGACATTTGTTAGTCCAAATTGTTAAATATCACTCAAGCTGTTACACTTGGTTCCATTTCTTCCTGGCTCCATTTGTCATCATGTTTCACAGGGAGGATCTGCCTTGTTTTACTGTTACAGAGGTTGCTCCACTGACCCTTTCTTCTCCCATTTCCACACACACACACTACTCTTCTCCAACCACATGTTTTTCCTCATTCGTAGAGGGCAAACCTATCTTCTTGAACCAAATTAGGGTTTTGCTGAGTAATTCACAACAAAGCTTCTTTGAAGTGATGTTAGTGCCGCTGCCCATGCATAACATGCATGCACAGAAAGTCACATCCGGATCAACCTAAATTCTTGTGGTCAAATAGATTGCTATCAAAAAAAACTGCAAAAATTGAAAATAAACATTGATATCATCTGTCAAAAATTGAAATATCTAATTCCAGCAAACCTCGATATCAAGTAGATATAATCTGTTCAGGATATATCCATATTGTTTCATGTGAACCTATGGGATCTAATTCTCTACTGCTTTTGGCCACCATGGAGACAACTATTGGGAGTTACAGACAGGACTCGTGGAGATCAATATTAGTATATGATAATGTCCAGACTAATACCACACTGATGTGAGACTGTATGGCTGGGCCTCAATCTTTGTATAAATCTTTAGCAGTTTTGGGCACCCAAATTTAGGAAGGATATACTGACTTCAGAAGCAAATCAGCTATAATTCACAAACCAATACCTGGGGTTTAGCTACATTGAAAGACTGGATAGACTTGGGTTATTAGTTAAATAGATTGAAAGGTGATCTGATTGAAGTGTTTAAAATAATGAGGGAAATTGCCAAGCTAAATAGTGGGATGATAGTGGAGGGATCCCAAAACAAGGAGTATAATCTTAACTTTAGAGATCAACTAATTATAAATGAGTAGAGTAGCCTTTTTTGTACACAATGGATTTTAGAATGTGGTTTCACTATCCCAGAAAGCTACAGAAGAAGAATCAATTGGGATATTTAAAATGAAATATATACATATATATCTTTGGATTCGGGCACACATTGAGGGAATGGTACATGAAGACGTGTTGAATGCCATTGAACATAAGCTATGTGCTTACTTTAGCATTAAAAATTTACTTGCAACTTTTTAAAGTTGTATCAAAACAACTTCAGCAAGAACCTCACCAGATTCAGCCAAAGGCAACAATAAGTGCTAAATGAGGTATGATGTGAAAATTTGGTAGTTTAGGGTAGGCATGCAATACACAGGGATACAGTATATAGTTTGAGACACATGTCAGGTGACGGCCGGGGTGGTGCAGGGCGAACTGGATGGACCTTGGTCTTCTTTCGCCTCGCAAATTCTTATGCACTGTTCAATCGGTTTGATGATAGTCTGAAGAGATGGGATTGGGAGAAAGGGAGGCTATTCCCTTTAATGAAGTGAAGGGTGAAAACTGAAGGGGTTTTACACCCTTCAGGAAGCAGATCATGGTGACCAGGAATAACTAATGGAAACTTTCATTCTCGAAGAGGTGTATGAGGAGAGAAAGAAAATAAAACACCAACAACACAAGAACAAATGTTAGCACCAGCAGGGAGTGGAGGCTCTGTGCACTAAATAGGGCACGAGCACTAGGTTTTGACTCTAAACATGCACCATGAAATACTAATAAATTGCCATGTTGCAAATAAATTAACCCTCTGAGTCCTACATAAACCTTCCTAAATGATATTAAATGACGACCCACTTAGTATATCCTGATTTAGCAAATACAATTCATTAGAAAATGTCTTTTCTGCTCTTTTTGGTACAATTATGACACAGATTTAATACAGTTCTTTGTTCTTCAAAGAGTAGTCTGAATGGGTGCTGAAAGTTCAGTTCTCAAAGGGTTAATGAACCATGGCTTCTTGGACAGATAAGACATAAGCTATTTCACCCATAAATAACATACAGTGATTTGTTCAGTGCTTTCTGTACCGGTTCTTTGGTGTCTCTCCACATCCTGTGATATCACAGGATGAGAGGGATGGTTTTTTGCCAGCAGAGATGGTACTGAGTAGACCAGGGAGCTCATGGGTGATGACACGCTCGATCTTCTCCAGCATGCATCCACCTATGTATGAGCACTGCCCTGATAAAAGCTTGAAATTGTTGATGGGATTAATGCCAAAGAATTCCTTGTAGACCTTGGGATTAGGAAGATCAAACTTGCTGACGTTGGTTTTGGCCAGGATGGATTTAAAGATGTAGAACTTGTCAGGTTCATCCAATATTTCACTGAAGACCAATTCTGGATCACTGAAGAAGGTCATTTTGTCCTTAAATGTTTGCAGATAACGATCCACAAGGAGGGCGTGTATACGCACCCTGATGGCATGTTGACGGATGAAGGCGATTTTATTCTCAAGTCTATTCTCAATGACTTGGGTCAGATCTTCCAATAGGGAGACCTCTTCTTTCAGGAACAGATTTTGATTGGTCTCGGGGTTGTACTCATAAGGCCAGAAAGAGCTTACATAGACTCTCGGAGGCTCAGTGACATTGATCAATGGGGCCAAGCTCCAGAAGAGCGCTCCATAAACTCGCATGAGTTCCTGAGTGGCCACGTTGTCTGCCTTATTCAGAATGATCCTGATCTGAGACTCACGCCCTTTGAGTTGCCGGAACAGCATCTCCAGTTCCAATCCCACATCCAACTTTGTAGGGTCAAAGACGACAAATATGAGGTCAGCTCGGTCAATAAACCATTGGCAGACTTCATTGAAGGGATAGCCTTTGAAAAAATGAAAAAATTATGTAGAAGTAATGACCTTACAAGTGTCTTAAATAACTTATAATGTGATTGTACTATAGACCCAATTTACTGTGGATACTTCCAACTGACCCACTCGCTTCCTGCCTTCCAGGTTATTAGGTCTTCTTTGAGTTCACTTCCTGCTTTGCTGTGCACACATAAAGCAGGAAGTGATGTTGGCAATGCAACTTAATGACTCGGAAGACCTGGCAAAATTTGAGGTCATCAGGTTGATGCCAAACATCACTTTCTACTTTGGGCACGTGCAGAAAACAGAAAGTGACATTGGCAGTGACCTGAAAGTGACAACAACAATGATAACTTGAATTTTTGTAGCACTCTTCCTGCGAGTAGCGACTCAGAGCATCCATCAATTACTCTCATGTAGGGTATAGAAGGATAAACTAAAAAGGTTACCCCTACCCTGTCCTACTCAGTGCTTCCAGGTCAAGTACAAGTTCTTTTTTTTTTTACCTCTTTCCTGCTGTTTGCGATTTTCTATGATTCCAGGGGTGTCGACAAAAGTTACTCGCTCCAGAAGTTTGTGTGGGATTTCAACGCCAACAAGTTTTTCCAGAAAATTCTGCCCAAACTTTTCCAGAGGAGAGAATGACCGAGCGCTATCAGCAGCCATGACAATGCCTTCCACTGTACGAATCTTGTCTCCTTGCATGATGACAGTGAACTCTGATGTAGTCGGCTCAGCACCTGAGTGATAGAGGAAAAATAATATTATTATCCATGATTGTTGAGAAAGTAATTTATGGAACAGGATTATTCCCCTCTTCCTGACTCATGTTCAGGTATAACTTCTTGGTGCTAGTCACCCTCTTGTGCATCATCCAAGCCATTCTTTATGCATGAGTGTGTTTGCAGGACATTCATCTGTTGTCAGCTGAGCAGCTCTAGGGTAAATTTAAAAGCATGTTATGTCTTTGTGATTTCTGATGTGAACTGGTGGTTTTGGGAGGAGGGGTTGAGGTTCCAACGGCCTCAATATTCATATGGCTCAAATGTATTTCATTTTGAAAGAAGTACGCAAACCCAAATTCTCTCATCTGGCTCCTCTAACGAATAACCCTTACAGAAGATCTTCTCTTTGGGGTTGGTAACCAAGAGAAGATTTACTATGTGTCAACATCCTTTTGGATAAGTTTATTATTTTGCTGCAAGTCCTTCCTATTGTATTGCCTGTTAATCATTACCTGTGTAAAGCTGGTAGATATTATTATCCAGTCCTAGGATGTAGTTGACCATGGTGGATTTTCCAACACTCCATGGCCCCAGGAATAGGACCATTGGTTTTGATGTGATTTCTCCATCTGTAAACAGAAAAGGTTGCACGTTATAGAAAGGCAACAACAACAAATTACATTTATATTGTGCCTTTTACGTCCCAAGGATAAACCAAGACAGCTATAGTAACTTACACAGAGATGTGTTGCCACATTGTACTCCAACCTCCAGTAATAAACAAAGCTTACCCTCCATGACTTCTCTCCAACTCAGATGCCTTATTTAGTCAAGTCCTTTTAATTTCAACTAATGTCACTAGTTGGATCAATACGTCGTAAGAAACTTTTGCAATGAGGGATGGGACTGGGTTAGGTGGAAATTGTTTCATGGGAACTTGAACTGGTGTTGGAATACTCATATATGTAGAGAATTGCCAAGAGATGTTTTCAAGCCACCCAAGCTCATAAATTAGACTCCAATATTTCAAAATGACAGTATAGCTGATTAACATCAGCATTAGTAAGAACTCCACAAAATCCATAAAAGAGAATCTGAATATAGATTTTCCACTGAGCTTTAAATGTATATAATCTTCATTATTTTGTTTGGAATACATTGTATTTTTCTTCCTCTTAATTATTCACCTCTCTACTCATACTGGTCCACAGTTATTGGGCTCTGATAAGTCATCTAATTGTAATTCTTCATAAGTGATCCCAGTCAGTGAGCTGATAGAATGGCGGGGGGTCTGTCCTCACCAATGTCCACATCATCACACTTTCTACCAGGAATCAATCTATAGTGATTGGGAATTTGATCCTGGCAGACTTTTCTTCTCCCTAACTCAGGAGTCCCAAAGCCAATTGTAGCTGCAACTGCTATCCTGGCTGAGATGAGCTAAATCACTACAGACCAGATATCAAATCTAGAAACTATCTCGTGTGTGGCTCAATTTCAGACAATGTAATGTCTTTACACAACAATCTAGACAACAATCTTATCAGTGGTAGAAGGAGGCGAGGGAAGGGGCAATCAAAGGGCCTCACAGATGGAGATCCAGAGAGGGGGGTAGACACTCTGAAAGCCCAACTGCTGATGGAGGGGTGGGAGATGTGAAGCTGAGCGGAGGGAGCGGCCATGTTGGTAAGGTTTGAGAAAGTTGCAGAGGTAGGGTGGGGCAGATTTAAAGGTTAGGATGAGGAACTTGAATCCTTGGACCACATGGTGATTATAGAATCGTAGAATTATACAGCATAGAAGGAGGCCATTCGGCTCAACTTGTCGGTGCTGGCTCTTTGAAAAGAGCTATCCAAATCAATCCCACTCCCCCGCTCTCTCTCCATAGCCCTGCAAACTTGTCCTCCCCAAATAATTATCTACTTCTCTCTTAAAAGTTGTTATCGAATTGGCTTCCACTACCCTTTCAGACGATGCATTCCAGATCTGAACAATTAGCTTTTTTATAACAAAAATTCTCACCTCCCCTCTGCTTTTTTTAACAACTATTTTAAATCGGTGTCCTCGGGTTACCGACCCACCCACCAGTGGAAATAGTTTCTCCTTGTTGACCCTATTGAATCCCCTCATAATTTTGAAAACTTCTATTAAGTTTCTTCTTAACCTTCTCTGCTCCAAGGAGAATGATCCAACCAGTGTTTTATAAAGGTTCATCATAACTTCTTGATTTTTGTATTCTATGCCCCTATTTATAAAGCCTAGTATCCTGTTTACTTTTTTAACAGGTTTATCTACCTGTCCTGCCACCTTCAAAGATTTACTTATATGAACCCCCAGGTTTCTCCGTCCTTCACCCCCTTTAAGATTCTAGCTTATATTGCCTCTCCTCATTCTTCCTTTCAAAATGCATTAATTCACATATCTCCACATTAAACTTCATCTGCCACGTGTCTGCCCATTTTACCAGTCTATGTCCTCTTGCAATCTGTTACTATCCTCCTCACTGTTTACTACTTTTCCTAGCTTAGTATCATCTGCAAATTTGGAAACTGTACTCCCTATACCCAAGTCAGGGTCATTTATACAGATCAAAAATAGCAGTGGTCCCAATACCAGCCCTGGGGGACACCACTACACACTCTCTTCCAGTCAGAAAAATAACCGTTCTCCAGCGTTCTCTGCTTCTTTCTCCCAGCCAGTTCTGTATCATGCTGCCACTGTCCCTTTATATCATAAGCTTCTATTTTGCTTACAAGTTTCTTATGTGGCACTTTATCAAGCGCCTTTTCAAAATCCATATAAGCTACATCAACTGCACTACCTTCATCCACCCTCTCCTTTACTTCATCAAAAAAAAATCAGGTTTGTTACACACGATTGAAAATTTATTTTGTCTCGTATTATAATCTCTAGAAGTTTCCCCACCACTGACGTTAGACTGACTGGCCTGCAGTTCCCGGGTTTATCCTTCTGCCCCTTTTTGTACAAGGGAATAACATTTGCAACCCTCCAGTCCTCTGGCACCACCCCGGTGTCCAAGGAGGATTGAAAGATTGTGGCCAGAGCCTCCATTATTTCCACCCTTACTTCCCTTAGTCACCTAGGATGCATCCCGTCCGTACTGGTGACTTACCTCTCTTGAGCACCGTCAATCTTTTTAGTACCTCCTCTCAGTTTATTCTTATCTTATCCAATTTCTCTACCCTCTCCTCCAATACTGTAGCATTGGTTGCATCCTCTTTTGTGAAGACAGATGCAAAGTACTCCTTTAGTACATCAGCCATGCTCTCTGCCTCCACAAGAAGATTTCCTCTTTGGTCCCTAATTGGACCCACCCTACCTTTGACTAATCTTTTATTCTTTATATGCTTATAAAGACACCTGGGTTCAATTCCAGGCAGGGCGAAACCTTGAGCAAGTTTCCTTACTCCACACGCCCAATAATAATCCCTCCAAAACAAAACAGTAATAAATTGGTCATTTTCAATCCACGACTGTTTGTGGGATGCTGCTGTGCACAATTAACTACCACATTTCACCCACAAATATACGGTCAATCCATTTTACAGTCTATTCTGTGAAGCGCTTTGAGACGTCGAGAAGATGTGAAAAGCGCTATATCAAATGCAAGGATCATTATTATTATAAAATACCTTAGGGTTCCCTTTTATGTTACCCGCTAATCTTTTCTCATATAATCTCTTTACTCTTCTTATTTTCTTTTTCTGTTCTCCTCTGTACTTTCTGTATTCTATTTGATTATCTTCTGTATTTTGGCCCTGGCCTTTGCTGTGAGATAGGGGTGGATGTGACCGATGCAGCGCAGGTGAAGAAAAGCAGTCTTGTTCATATGTGAGGGAGAAAGCAGGACTGAGCAGAACCAGAATCCAAGAAGTTCACAAATGATGCCAAGGTTGTGTGCTGCTTTCCACACATCTCTGTAATTCATATTCTACACTTAACGAATGTCTAAATTCAGACCAAGTTACAACCATCATCAGTTCTTTATTTGTTTTTCTATTACATGATTCATTGAAAATCCAGTTGAAGGATGATGGGCCCATGACATAAAAGTACCATCAAGATTAGAAAGAGTGGGAGATAAAATTAGATAAATCAGGAAGAAATAGGTTAGTTCCCACCCACAGCAGCCCAGGTTTGGATCAGTTAATTCAAAGAGGGTTCATGATCCAATTAAACACTATAAACAAATTAAAACTTTTCAAATATTTCTGCTATAAAAAACATTGGTGCATTATGAAAACATAGTATTCACAACAAAATTATTGGGGGTTGAATGCTCCCAGTAACCAGATATGCAGAATTAGTTTGCATTGTGGATTGATGTGACTGCCAGCATTCAATATTTAGGAATCATGTTGCAAATACTGCATATTTGTCCTCAATATATCATATTTGCACAGCATGCTTAAAATAATGAACATCACTGCTCTCAGCCTTTGTTCAGAACTCCCCTCCCCAACTTGGAGCGCATAAGGTGAATTAATGGCATAAATTCACATCCCACTGCTCCAAAAGAAAGAAAAAAAAAGAAAAAAAGTTTCTGTAAGAAGTTCATCTAAGGCTTGAATTCTGCTCCCATATCTATGAGGCATACTCCTGAAAGGATATAAGAAAATATTAGTTTCTGCTAAGCTCTTTCATCTTTATCCTCCAATCTATTTCTCAGTCACAACCTTTCTTGTCTTCATCTTATTGATACTGCTATGGTCACTGTTGTTCCAACCTTTCCTCTCCAACTACCCTATTCTATAAACTTGTCTCCTTACTACTGAAATTAAGATTCATTGTACAATATCCTACTCCAACTCATTACTTCTCGGGTCTTCACAGCTATGGATCTCCACACCTTCATCGTTCTTTTCTCTCTCCAACACTATACAGACTTTCAAACCCAAAGCTTGGTATCACCCAATTAATTTTTGCTTTATCTTATTTTCCCTCCTATGTTTTTCAGCCAAGTTGATATTCTGGATTAAGGGTCTTTACCCTTCATATACGTTTATCCTTTAAAAATAATTGACCTCTGCAAATTGGGCCAATTTGTGCCAACATTTCTTTACTGTGCCCACTTTCAACTAACATTGTTGGAATTATGACACACAATGTTTCTGGCGTCATGTATTTATCAGAAATATAGAATTATTTGGGGATATTTTGAAATCTCTCAACCAAGTTTTTTTGTGTGTTCTCAAACTATTGGAGAAAACATAAGAGACTTCCAATGTCTTTGTTCAGGATTCAAGGACCCCTTGAATTGAGAATCAATGAAATAAAGAATGCTGTAAAATGTGACATATGAAGCCAGATTCTAGCAAAAGCCATTCACCACTGAAGGTTTAACCTCTGGGTCCAGAACTGAGCAAAGATGCATTACTGCAGTAGCTCGGTTATTACGATGTGAGGCACATGCAGCAGGTGGACAATGTTACCAACCTTCGAATGAGTTCATGGAGCGTCCTGGGTAGGCTGTTAGCATTGAGAGGAAGAAAGAAGGCAAAAATAAGTGGAGTCAAGCAAAGGGGAGTACTGTCACTGGTCAGAAAGCAAAACCAATGAAAAAATAAGACAAGAAAGGAGAGCCTCAGTCATCTGCTGAGAAGGCACAATGATGACGGCAAAATGTTCAATAAATATTTAAGTACAGATTTATAAAATGTACGTCCTGGGTAGTTTACTTTCCATGCAGTTTTACATTGAACCTGCAACCAGTGATGCATAGGTATTTGATGATCCAATTAGACACTATAGAGAAGGCGCCCAAATTGAATAGCCTATAATAAAAGATTAGTGCGGTTCTGATATTTGCCACTAGATGTTACTGGTACATTTGATTAATGATCTATCCTTAATTATTTACAAAGCACACAGGAATTGAAGTATCCAAAACCCTCTCCACACGTTCAACATTGAACTCCTTAACATCTTCTATACTAATAAAGACGAAATGTCTGACCGCCAATAACGCAATAACCGATTGATGTAGAGACATGATTCATACCTCATTGGAAAAGTGTTGCATGGGGGAGTGTCATGGGCATTTGTTTTGTGGAGATCTCCTACCATTATATAAAGTATAATAATCTAATATAAAATATAATAATCTAATATAAAGTATAATATAGTATAAAGTATGATAAAGTATAATAACAGAATATAAAGTATAATAATAGAATATAAAGTATAATAATACTGAAATCTACATTTCATATTGGATCCTTTGGTTGCAAGCGTAGCTGCAACGGGTACAGCTAGTTGGATTATAATAGCCAGGTGTGTAAGTGCAAAATCCCACCACATTGTGTATATGTAATTTCACTAGACATGCTATCCCTCATGGTACAAATTGGCAATGTTGTCACATTTGACAACATGAGGCATTTTCAATAGCTCCTCATTTTGGAATTTTATATGCATAAAATTTATGTGATAAGCTGGGCCAATAGAAAAGTGCGGAAATGTTTTCCCAAAATTGCGGGGAGATTTTTGACAAATTTTGCAGAAAATGGCGGGAAGTTGATTGGTGCTATTGAGGTACATTTTGCCAACCTACATTTTTTCACTTTATTGATAAAAACTAAACATGAGGAAATAACGCATATTAAGATTGTTGCAAAAAAAACAATGGGTGGCCATGTTTTTACTGGATGGGAGGGGGAAAACTAGCTACAGGAGCTCTCAAGACCCAGCACCACACACAGACCCAGAGAAAGAGACACACATACATTCAGAGACACAGAGAGACATAAATACACAGACACACACACTCGCAGACACAGAGAGACTCAGACATAGAGAGACGCACACAGGCACACCCACAAACACACAGAGAACAACAACAACAAAATTACATTTATAGAGCGCCTTTCACGTCGGGAGGACGTCCCAAAGCGCTGAACAGTCAGGTGTCGGGGCCCAAGCATGGGGGACGGACGGTGTAGGGGTGAGGGAAGGCAGAGAGGTGGCAGGGAGACCAAAGGCACGGTCGAAGAGAAGGACAGGCAGACTCAACACTCACAAATGCATATAGAGACATACACACAATCATACACATTCACTCACACACACACACACAAACAGACACAGACAATAATAACAGCCTGGCCTCCGAGTGAAGCCCATTTGCCATTTGCACTGCGCATGCGTGTCCGGAGCCACCCTGCCCACAGTGACGTCAGGTAAACAGCTGGGAGCCCTGCGGGCCAGAAACAACATTTACAGCGGGTTTGTCGCAGATTCCGCGGGGAAAGTGCAGCTGCACTTTTCTATTGGCCCAGGTGATAAGCCTGGGGTGTCACAGCATCTAAACCCAAAGAAAAAACATAAACACCACCACTAATTTCAACAGATTGTACTCAGATTCAAAACAAAGATTCCCTGCTATCTGCCTTATATTATGTTCTTTTTAACCACACCTTCTGTTTGATGGCTCAATATCAAGAACATTACTGCACCAAAAAACGATCTTGTTTGATCCCAGTATTGAAAGAAACCTAACATCATGTAGAATCAATACAAAGCTTGGAATTCAAACCCCTGGTTTATTCAATGTTAACTGCATAGCTCCCAATTCATAGCTTTTACTCAGCTCCCAATCCACAGATGTTCCTATCTATAATACAATAAACAACTTTTTCTGCCCCCTCTTGCTGTGGATCAGTTCCACAGGCATAGGGTACCTTCTAGTACCCAACTGAAAATGTGAGTCAAAACTAAATATTTTCAGATCATTCAACTAGGGGCCATAACCTAATCCATCACCAAGGTCCACAATTTTACCAACTGACTGAATTTCAAGCCCCTTGGGTCTACGCACTTTCCAGTGATCACACTGTATAGTGATCAGGTGTATAACATCCCTATTGAGATCATGTAACTTTATACAAATACCAGGGATCGAATCTCAGACTTCCTAGACTTTATGGATTAATACCACAACACAAAGAGCTTTACCACATTTTACCAATTGTTGAAATTTACTTCGGAAAATCCTTCTAATCCGTAGTTCACAGTTTAATTAAAAATTCAGATTTGTTATTCCTAATGGACCATGGGTTGCATGAATCAAAAGGGCCTGTGAGTATGAGAGTTCCTGTTTAAAAGAGTATTGAAAGCAGAAAGGGTGCAAAGGGATTAGCAGGGGTAAACTCAGAACAGGATTCGAATGTGCATCCGTGTAACTCAGATACTTTCTAAATAAACCTGTTGAGCCTTCAGAGAATCCTGTACTGTGGAATTCTGGAATCTGTGCAACACTAGTTATCCTGACATTGGGGGAAGGTGCGGTGATAGGTAACTTACATTTGAGTTTAAGAACCATTACACCTTCATATTATCACACTCTATATGGTTATTCTAAGCAAAGACATTATTTGGGTGTGACATTCCCATAGAATAGATTGAGCATTGGAGAATCCTCACCAAATCCTACCCTCGCCTCCACTAAATCGTCGTTCTACTCCAAGACAATCTTGGAGGCCAATGACAACTCCAGGCTCCTCTCCTCTCCTCTGGTACCAGCTCCTCCACCCACCTTCCCCTCTCATGCCTCGTCCACCCTCACCTCCAATGCCAACTGCGAGGTGATGCTGGACGTCCTCGAATCCAAAGCTCAGCTGCTTCTGCCCTTCCGTCTACCACCCCCTCTCCATGGCCCCCTCCCACCGGGCTCCTACCCATCCCTCTTTCCACAGCTTCGAACCTGTCTCCCAATCCTCTTTCACGACCACTGTAGCCGTATTAAACCAACCACCTGCTCATTCGACCCCATCCCTACCCTATTCCTTACCTCCCAGCTCCACTTCCTTGCGCCTATACTCACAAACATCATAAACCTCTCCCTGTCCACTGGTACTGTTCCCACCCCATTAAAAACGGCGGTCATCATTCCTATCCTTAAAAAACTCTTCCTGGACCCATCACTGCTCTCAAACTACCGCCTCATCTCCAACCTTCCTTTCCTCTCCAAGGTCGTGGAACAAGTTGTTGCTTCGCTCCTTCCTCTCCCTTCAAAAAACCCCTCCAATCGGGTTTCCGTGCCGCCCATAGCACAGAAACAGCCCTGGTCAAAGTGACAAATGACATTCTGTCCATCTGCAACCAGGGCTCCTCTGCCTCCTCGTCCTCCTTGACTTCTCTGCTGCCTTTGACACTGTTGACCACTTTATCCTCATCCACCGCTTCTCCTCTCACGTCTCACAGATTCCAGAACTCCTTCACGGATCAACCTTCATGGCTCTGTTCTTAACTAGTTCAGATCGTACCTTTCACACCACCTCCACTGCATCTCCACAAATGGTTTCTCCTCTAGCCCCCGCACAGTCTCTTGCGGCATTCTTCAGGGCTCTGTCCTTGGTCCCCTCCTCTTCAACATCTATATGCTCCCTTTTGGTGACATCATCCGCAGACATGGGGTCAAATTCCATATGTATGCGGATGACACCCACCTCTATCTCTCTGCCTCCACCCTTGACTCCAGGACCACTGCTGTCCTGACAAAATGTCTGTCGGACATCAAGTCCTGGATGAGAGCTAACTTTCTTCAGTTGAACGTCAACAAGACTGAGGCTCTCCTGATTGGCTCCCATCAGCACCTCAGGTGAGGAGGCGCTGACAACATCGCCATCTATGGTGCACATTCCACCTTGCTAAGCCAGTCCGAACCTTGGCGTCTTGTTTGACCCTCAACTGTCCTTCCTACCCCACATCTGTGCCGTGACCCTCTCTGCCTTCCCCCACCTCCGCAACATCGCCCGACTCCGCCACTGTCTCACACCGCAGGCTGCCAAAACCCTCATACATGCATTCATTACATCGAGGCTTGACTATGCAAACTCCTTGCTTGTTGGCCTCCCCAACTCCTCCCTCCATAGGCTGTAGATCATCCAGCCCGTGTCCCCTCCCGCACCAGGCTCCGTGACCCTGTTACCCCGATCCTCGCCCGACTCCACTGGCTTCCCACACAGAGGATACAGTTCAAGATCCTGGTCCTCACCTTCAAAGCCCTCCATGGTCTTGCTCCTCATTACCTCTGCGACCTCCTAAACCCCTATTATTTTGCCCACTCCTTCTGCTCAGCGGGCTCCAGCCTGCTTCACGTCTCCCACCTCACCCACCCCACCATTGGCAGGCAGGACTTCTGTCACTCTGCCCCCACCCTCTGGAACTCCATCCCGCAGTCCTTCCGCCTCGCTCCCTTCCTTGCCTCCTTCAAGACCCATCTCAAGTCCCTCCTCTTTCTTCCCCTCTGCCCTCCCCAATCCCGACCACCAGCTCGGATCTGAAACTCTGACTGTCCAGTGCCTTGGGACGGCCTTCCAACACAAAAGATGCCATACAAAAGTAATCTTGCTTCTGCTGCTGTTGTATACGGATTCCAGCCTCCGCTGGTGACATTGGTCAGGCTGCTGTCCTACCTGTGATCTCATGCTGCCGCAGTTCGTTGTACTTGTACGCTTGTTCCACTGGGCGAATGGAGCTATGGTACAGCTTCCGCAATCGCTGCAGCACATCTAATGCGTGGGGGAAAGGGCATAGTATCAGTGTGACATGGTACCCTAACACAGCAATAAAACACACATTTTCAAAACCTACTTTTCTGTTCTCCTTAAACATGTACCAGCATTACACATACAAAGGTAGTGTTTATCACTTGTAGTTGTATCTCAATCTATGAAGGAATTAGTAATTGGCGTTATTACTGAGTCTAATGTTGGGATTTCAAACACCACATCGGGATTTAAGCTTTTAGTCTCAACTGTTTTTGGAGTGGGGGGGGGGGGGGGGGGGAGGCTGCATTATCTATTAAGACATTAAACTCAAATTGAAACTGCCAGTTTTCAGATGGATATTAAAGATCCCATGATATTCATTGAACAGAGAAAGGAGTTTCTCCCAGTGTCCTGGCCAACAATCTATCAAATTATTTGGTCGTGGCTGTTTATGGGACATAGCTAGTAAAAACGGCTGCTATTTTGCCCACACTAGCATTCCCTCACTTTCTATCACTGGGCGAGAAAGAAGAGGGAATAGAGCTAAGTCCCATCTATGGCAAGTTCAGATCACACAGCTGATGAACAGACTCATATTCACCACAAACAGCATCTCTGCCAAAGGGCCTAGCTGAATCTAGTACATTTTATGAAGCAAACATTGATATTCTCTTCTTATTCCAATCAATCTGCTTACTAGAGTAATCATCAGATGGAGTGGCCTCATTCAGTCGGAGTGTCTTGTCAATGTGGGAGCGATCCCTGAAGGACAGGTTCAGCTGAGGATCTGACTCCGCTTCCACATCATCATCCTCCCCTTCATCTGTGGGACAAAGCAACATTGTACAGTACCAATTTCAGGCAAGAATAGACCATTAGTACTTTCAACTTTCAAAAATAGATTCTTTACAAGTATTTAACTGATATCTGAATCTTTTTCTATTTTTAGGAACTTGTCTAGTTCCCTTTTGGATCCCTTTGAAAGGCATGGATTTTCACTTAATCTTCGCCTGTAAAACCATTTTGTCTTAAAATTTAAGATTGTGTGGAATTATGGAAAAAAAATTAAATTCAGCCTTCATTTGGAAGTTAATTGGAAGAACTTTGGAAAATAAGCTTCCAAATTATACTGGATTTAAAAATGTTCCTCTCTTGGTGCAATCTTAAATTTTAAGACAAAATTACCTTACCTAAGACCGGGTGAAATTTCGGGCTTATAGTATCTTGTTCTACCACCTGTGCTGGTAGTTAGTTTCACTTGCCTGGCACCATTAGGTTAAAAAAANTCTCTTGCACATCTTACTCACTTTTGTTGTCCTTATTTTGAAACTATGTATGATCTCTTGTCATTTTTATTTAAATGGCAAAACAAAATTTGCATCCAAATTTTCCATTCTTTAAAAATTTTAAAGAACTTTTTATGTCCTCCCTTACAGTCCAGAGTCAGATCAAGCAAAAACTCTAAATATCTTCCAGTTTTTGCTTAATTAGATTACAATAGTGAAACAAACAACCAGCAGAGGTTGTCCTCATCCTTGCTCGGCACCATAAACCATCTCTGTGAAGATCTCAGAGCCATTATCCCACATAAAGGGACCTATATAAATGCAAGTTGTTGTTATTAGCTATCTACTTCCTTCTTGAATTTAATGATACAATCTGCCTTCAGTTCTCTCTGGTTCCTCCATTCTACATATTAATCTCTGTGAGGTAGTTTAACGTGAGCTCTGCTTGCCTTCTCTGTACTGTCTTATTGTTGTTATTACTGTGCTCTAGTTGATGTACTGCTGGTTGTATGTTACTGTGTAAAACTGACCTGGGAATCTTCAAGGTTGACAGGAAGGTCACAGAAGTGATATCCCTTATTTTAATGCATATGACACTTAACACATACACACTCACACACTCAACAGTATGAAATAACTACAGTGAACTCCAGATAACTCATCACCCCAGGAGAAAAGGGCTCAGCAACAGGAGTGGGGAGTTAGACGTAGGTCCTCCCGGACCACAAGGGGTGCTGTGACTGGTACAGGCATTCAACAGAGGTTGGGCACTCCTGCTCAGATGCATTGCCTGCCAGGAATCAAACCCAGGTCTCTCACTTGCGAGGCGAGTGCTCTAACCACTGAGCTACAGGACTCCACAATGGTAATGTTGGGAAACAATTCTTTGGAATTAATATTGATGATATTAGTGAGATTTCAAGCAAAAATGCAAATTAAGTCTGTTGCTGGCTGTCAGTGTGAGTAGTTTATGTGAAGTTACATGAGGTTTATGGGGAAAAGTAAAGAAATAAAAAATTCCACAGACGAATTTTAATGCACAACATTCAGCAGTGTGCAAACCTCTTTGGACACGTTTGTTATTCTGTTCCTCGGAGGTTAGAGGTTCAGATTTGTCCTGCTTGTCTTGAGCCCTCTGTGACTCAGTGTCACTCTTGCCATTAGCCTGTTCTTGTGACAGCCTAACACTATCATCATCTTCTTCATTTCTAGACTCTAGGGAAGAACTAGTCAATGGTTCTTCAGAAGTGAAGCTGGACTCTCTGATCTCCTCATCAGCCATCTCATCATCTTCTACAGGTTCTTCGTTCTTCTCGTCTGACTCAAACATTGCCAATTCTTCTCCCTCATCTCCATTGTCTTCAGATTCAAAGCCAATGCCAATGTTTGTTACATTCTCTTCCACCTCCTCATTATCAGAGATTTGTGTAGGTTCAGAACTTTCAGCAGTATCCGGTTTACCTTCCATTTCTTTACCATGTTCCTGTTTTTCTTCAAAATCATCTACTTCTTGATCATTGTTGGTTTCCTTATTATTGGTGAGCTCTTCCGATTCCTCACCAGGCAGTTCTAGCTTCTTAGTTAAGGATTCCTTATCAGCTTCATGCTGAAGATCACCATTATCGCCATCATCGGGTTCATCCTTTCTGGTCTCAATTTCCTTTTCAGAATCATGTACTTCATTATTTTCTTCATGATCATCCATTGTTTCATCTTTCAGATTAATAGCTTTGATTTCCTGTCCTCTGTTTAACTCCAGACTCTTGTCTCCCATTTCTTCAAGATCACCAACAGTTTTCTCCAAAGATTCTTCTTCAACATCAGTCTTCCCTTCAAAATCATCTCCAAACTGCAGGTAATGCCCTTCATTACTATTTGTTTCAAGAATTGTGTTTTCTGTTTTGTCTTCATAGTCTGCGGTAGGATTGCTGGTTTCATAGTCTGCGGTAGGATTGCTGGTTTCATTTTCTGCTGGATCTTTTAGATTGCCACCTTTACCTTCATGAGTTTCATTTGCAGATCCTTCCAGCAATTTTCCAACATTTTTGGTTTTAAGGTCCACATTCATGGTCGTTCCTGTATTGTTAATGTCTGGGTCTTGGGCTTTTAAACCAGCACTTTCCTTACCAGCAAAAAAACTATTCCCATCCTCAGTAATTAAGTCACTTGGTTTATCCTGCATGTTTAACTCATCTTCATTTACAAGCTTCTCCCTTTGTCTACTGTATCATTCTTTGAGTTGTCTTCCTTGGATTTAGACTCTTCTTGGTTTGCATCAGTCCCAACTACGGTGTCCCTTATAGTAGCACAGCTTGAACACACCAGTGTGCAGCGGTCAGTGTGTGATTTTGTATCTACTTTATGGTCAGCGCTTTCCTTGGTTGCATCAGATCCCCTTTTGGGAATATGCGATCCAGGAACTGAACTGTCATTAGGTCCTGAATCAGTTTGTGATGGAAATATGTCATCGCCAGCCTGCTGCTCCCCATCATTCACATCAGTGTCTGGGTCTCCAGCCAAGACTCCACGCTCTGCCAGATTGCCGACATCATCATTGTTGGGTTTGGTGAAGACTTGCAGCTCTAAATGGTCAGAATATTATCAGTCAGTTTGAAATGGGATGTTTTCCCATCAACATGATTCAGAGAAAAGTGTTCCCTCGATGGACTAGTGGGTAAAAGCCTGGTGTAGCACAGGTTTAGAGAGGGTCACAGGTTCAAATCTGGCCTATACTTAGTTAGCTGATCGCACCCAGGTCAGCAGTTGGGGCTACGGTTGGCCTAAGAACCCCAGGGCTATCGAGAGGGAAATAAATCAGCCAGGGTTTCTACTCCTGATAACTGTCCAGTAATTGTCCTGAAAATTGATTTGGATAGCACTTTTCAAAGGGCCGCCACAGACAAAATGGGCCGAATGGCCTCTTTCTGTGCTATATAATTCTATGATTGAATTCCTGCTGGAAGGCGCTTGCATATGAGCATTGGGTGAAGATAGGGTTGGGCTTGGTTGTGATACCTTTTTATGGTTGAATACCCTATCAGCCCTCAGTGTCTGAGACCACACATGAAGAATGGCCACTTGGCAAAGCACCCCAGCAGGAGTTAGGGTCCTTCAGGAGAAGAGGAAGGGAGAAACATGCCAAAAAAAAGTAATTCAGAGAGAAAATAAATAGTGTAAGAAAGGTGTTATAGACACAGAAACACAATGTAGAGAACGCCATGGCCAACATTAGGAGGAATCAAGCCCAACCAATAGTGAGACTTGTACAGGTTAGTGCAAGATCCTACTTTATTAAAAACATTAACATTGAAAACCACAATCTTTTCCATATCTTATTAATCTATTCACAATCTGATTCAATACAAGAGGTAAATTTTGGCTGCAAAACCAGTCACTACACTTGATAATAATTACTGTGACGCAGTGTTAAAATATTACTTCTTCTACAATGGCCAACAAGTACACGATGAACTTTGTGTTTTTAAAAAATATAACACTGATCAGTTGGGATTCAGAACATTTACAGATAATCTAAATCTTTATTTTATTCTGACTGACAAGAGTTAAAAGAACCGAGGAGTTCCATTTTTCACACCAGATTCGTTGTTCTGAGGTTACAAGATGCATATTAATTCAATAATAATCCTTATTGGAATTCTCATCTCAATAATTTTATATTTATACCTTGAACAAGAGTTCAATTTCCAGAGTATGTGTGTACAAAGTACTCACTCTTTTGCTGCATCTGCTTAGATGGAAGAAGCAACAGATTTTTGAAGCCAGCAGGACTGGTTCTGCACTGCCAATGCTCTCCTAGGCAATATAACAACAACTTACACTTATATAGTGCCCTCCATGCAGGGCAGCATCTCAGAGGGTTTAAATGTGCAATGAGTCCTCTGCTTTTTTCCTGCATTCACCACAGGTGCCAGGCGCTCCAGCAGTTGGTAACACAGATGGGTGTGGAGTACTTTCCTCTCAACAGCATGTTGAATCTATGGAACTTTCCATGAATTGATCGAGTTGGGTCTCCAGCATTTGGTTTCAAACAACTGCCTCCTGCAAATTTATTCAAAGTAGCCTAAAACTTCCCGACAGTCTAGACATGGCATTTTATGTCTTTGACTATGTTTCGGGTGGTGCCTTTTTGAGCCTCTGCTGAAATCAGATGTTTTAAATGTGAGGATCCTAAGGGACAGAAGCCATCTCAAGGACAAATCTTTGCCTTAAACGATGACATTTAAAGATCTCCATTCTTCAATAGAATTTGTGGGAATGCACAATATGAGGAGCATCGTCTCAGTTCAGCTGCCCCTTTTTCTATGCCAGTTTCAGTCATTATCTTCGACATCCAGGGATGGAAATCCTCCTGCCAGCTTTTGCTATGGTGCATATCAATAAGTGCCTGTTCAGCCTACTGGGAAGTAATCTATAAACCATTAAATCTATGACACCTGTCTCACATGGAACACGTGTGCTAGATGCAAAACTAATTGGAGCCTCAAAGTAACCTCTGTATATTGTCTTGAAAAGTCATAAATTAAGGCAAGAAAAAAATCTTTTTCATGGTATGTGTGGTGTATTTAGGCAGTAGGTATCTTCCCTCAACAAGCTTACTAAGGTAGGCTATCTTGCATATTTCATAGAAGAAGTTTCTCCAAATTGTCTGCTGCATTCACCGACAAAATACACAATCACTCCAATTTATGGTATGTGAAGCACTTTGAAACTTCCTTCCAAGTGAAAGGCATTATATCAAATGTAAGGATTGTTAATACTAACCACTTTCCCCTCATATGCATCAACTTTCTTCTTAAATATATTTATGTTTTATACTTCAATCATAGCCTCAGACAGTGAGTTCACCACCCACGGCATAAATACATTCCTCCTAAACTACCTTTGAGATCTACGGGCTGTCCTCCCTAGCCTGTCACTCAGTCCCTGGGATCCAGTGATCTATTTATAATGGAGACCTTTTGAATGTCTGGATTGACTTTCTCTTGGCACTGATGTAGGGATGCACTGAGCTCACTGTCTATTCTAAGAGCAATGGAAGTGCTGCTGGAAATTCACTAGCTGGGTTCCAGAGTTAGGTTGGTGGAGGCAAGATGTCTTGCCAGACCCAGCACCTCGTTTATAAATGGTGGTGTAGGTATCCTGACTGAATCACCAACCTGCAACTACATGTAACATTTTATTATTTCCTCCTCCAATTTTCATCTTCCTCCCCCCACTCCCCAGAAGGTGCTGACTGGCTCTAGAGTACAGACCCACAGATACTAGTCTTGTTCCAGTAACTCACCCAAGTGGCATTCTTCGCATGTCAGTCTGGACAGTGAATATTGGTTGGATATACAGCTGTGTAAACAGCTGAGTCCAATCTGGCATCTGAAAGTCCACTTAGTTTTATCCTGTGAAACCATTTTGATTTCAAGATCCTCATCCTCACCTACAAGGCCATCCACGGCCTTGCTCCCTCCTACCTCTCCAACCTACTATCCCCCTACCTACCTGCCCGTACCCTCCGTTCCTCTGGCTCTGGTCTGCTCCACGTCCCCCGCCCCAACCGCCCTACCATCGGTGGTCGGGCCTTCAGCCTCTCAGCCCCCAGGCTCTGGAACTCCATCCCCAGTGCCTTCGCCTTGCTTCCTCCCTTTCCTCCTTCAAGGCCGGTCTCAAAACCTTTCTCTTTGACCGTGCCTTCAGCTCCCCTCTCGACTCTCTTCCCCCTCCTCGCTCCCTCCCTTCCCTCCCCTCACCCTGACCATTTCCCCCCTCCTTGCTCCCTCCCTTCCCTCCCCTCACCCTGACCATTTCCCCCCTGCTCGGGTCATGACCCAACTGTGCAGCGCCTTGGGACGTCCTCCTGACGTGAAAGGCGCTTTATAAATGGAATCTTGTTGTTGTTGTTGTTGTTGTTGTCTTCAAAGTTAAATTCAATCTTTAGTTTGGAAGTCAATTCTTTTTATAAACTGCAGGGAACCGATTTCGTAATTAAGACTGAATTTAAGAACTTTCCATAATTTAACATTTTCAGACAAACAGTCTTAAGAAAGTTTACCACTCCTATCCACACCCAAAGCTGATGATGGAAACTAGGACCTTCAACATCTACCTGGCTCTGTACTATCCTGGATTTCAACCTCCCGACATGAAAGGCGCTTTACAAATTTAATTTTGTTGTTGTTATTAACCTATTGAGGAAATTATCAAATGCAAAGATTATTATTATTATTATGCTGAATGATTGTTAATTCAGGTGACATCGTGAAGTTTCAAAATTAGCAGGCCTTAAATATTATAGCAGATAAATGGAATATCTTTCCAGCAAGTTGTGAATGATATTGGAAATGCCTAATAATAGTTACATCTAGTTACCTAATAATAGTTAGCTCTAACAGCACCTCTGTCATCATCAGATCACCAGGAAAGCTTCAATCACCTCTAGACTCCAACCACCCTCTCAAAATCTTTCCTGACCGCCTCTATTTTATTGCTTTGAACTTTACTCTTGTTCTTTTTAAGATCCAAATCCCACATCCTACATGCTCCTGTGTTTTTGCTGGGCTGAAATCAAGGCTCACTGCACCATCTCCTCTAATTAATTCCTTTAAAAGCGTAAGTTTTACATCACCCAACCATGACTTCCTGATGTATCTACTCTAGTCCTACTTTTGGTTTTAGCCATCTTGATGTCCATCACTATGCAACTTAAACACCTGCATAGGTTCTGAAAACAATTGTAGTCCCAACTATTGTTCCGGGTGAAAGCAGCTCATTCATCACATAGGTGACGGAACCTGGGACCTTTGAGCTGTACATGTCAATGTGGGTCACAGTTAAGGCATTGCCTAACCTAACAGTGCTACCCCGTTTAGATGTCATTGCCCATGGATGAATTGCTCTCAGCCTAGTCTTTTCAATGACTGAAACAATCACATTAATATGCACTGAGCCAATACTGACAAAGGTGGGAGGAGTGATTTGACTTCTGCAGTAAGAATAGACAGCAGCTTACTCTTACCTTTAATAATAGGTTAGCAACACATTCTGAGGCCTTTGTAATGTGACTATGAGTCATTAATGAGTGAGTAATGGTTCAGTGGGAGCCAAGAGCACAGCAAGGTCACCTTTTAGACTGCAAAGCTAAACTCACTGGCTGGAATGCAGCCCAAACCAGGCAGTTTTACAGTGAAGAGGCGCTGCTGTCACAAGGGCTAGGGCACATTCTCACAGTGTCAGAATCTGACATGGAACACTGGGAACAAGGAAGGCCGCTCAGCCCAACAATATGCATTGAATGTAGCGTCTTTCACATATAATCAGAGGATGTGGTATGAACTGGAGTTCTTTTCATACAACAGCAGAGCGATGTCAAGAAGGGTTGCAGTATAAAACATAGCTCAGGTATATTTTGCAGTGAAGGTGAAGTTTAAACACGGCATTAATATTCTCAGTGACGTGAACTACAAAAAAAAACTATTAAACAAGTCTGCTAAACAACTAAGATATCTCACTTAGAACCACAGAAATTTACAGTACAGAAGGCAGCCATTCATCCCATCTTGTCTGTTTGACT